ATATATATATATATATATATATATTCATATATCATCGGTCTTGCTTTTAATTGGTTTTTATTTTGGTTGAATTTCGGAAATATTTTAAAAAAATATCACTATCTATTTCATTTTTATATTTATTGTTGAAAAGCAAGACACAATCACTTTTCAACAATTGTTATAGGAACCACAAACATTTGAAGTGCAACTGAGAATCCCCTTTCTGCAACTAATGCTTGTAGTTGCTCTTTTAGGGATGCTCTCTAATCATTTAAGTTACTTTTGGAACTATGTATGGGTTGCTTTCTAAAGAGCACTCTTCGTTGGAATCAGTCTTAAAACAAGTTGTCGTAGGAAATAGTCGTTTAAAACAAGTTGCAACTCGTCCTTCTTTTCTATCGATATGTTTTCACTTTAAGGATCACACTCTATGTGATTTTATCATTCATGCATATAATTTTTTTAAACATGGTACCCGTATCCACCGCCAAAACCAGTATTAATCTCCAGTATTTGATTTATTTTTATTGGCTTAACAATATTTCCATTTTGGATTAATCCTAACACAAGTCACCAACTCTTGAAAAATCGGAAGATGATTCACTTGTCATGATATCTAATTTTATAAGTAAAAATAAAATACAAGTTTAAATAATAACTATGAAAATAAAATGGAAAACAAATCATTTTTCAAAACGAGTACAAACAAAATATAAATTCAATTATCCAAACAACGACAACGAACAAGCTCTTTTGAAAAGTTAAATACGTTTTTTTTTTCTTCACAAAATTGTGTTTTTGTACTGCAACTTGTATTGCACAATAAAATTTAAAAATGTTTATATTAACGTATTGACAAAAGGCAGAGTTTATTAAAACAAAACAGATGATAGACTCAAATAAAATAATATAAAAAATTGAAAGTAAAATAAATTAAGTTAATGTAAACATGACAATTAAGACAATAATTATAATTAGTATAAAGAAAGCAGTTGATTGAATATAATAAATAAAGAATGATAAGAGAAATAAGGATAAAAAATTGAAATTGAAATTAAAATAAAAGAGCACAAACATGGATGAAAAAAGCTGGGAATTAGAAAAAAGAGATGAATAAGGGGAATAGAGAGAAAAAACTGAAATTTAAATTGAAATAAAATAAAAATAACAAATGTAAAGTTAGTTCGAGTCTCATGGATGAAAGAATACAACAAAAGAGATTTATTAAAGATAATCAATCATGATCTCGATAAAAATTAATCATAATAAAATTGATAAATATTTTATATTAATAATATGATTATAAATATAAATAAATAAAAAGCACGTTGTTTTTTTTTTTTTTTTTTGGATTAAAGCACGTTGTCTTTTCAAATACATAAAAGAGTAACTCGTGGTTGATCAAGCCAAAAAAGCAGTTCTCGCAACATATAGACAGAAAGTTCAAATTTTGCACTCATCTTCAGACGGGTAATATAAAGAGTTAATCATTTATATATTATTTGTGTAAAAATTTTTATACTGACAACTAATCATATTTTTAAAATTATTTTATTTTATTTTTATTTTATTAAATAAGCAGATGACATGACACTATATTAAAAGATATGATTGATTACTAGTGTAAAAAAACTTTACACTGACAGTGTATTGGTGATTAACTCTATATCACTTATACATTGCCAGTGTAAAGTCTTTTTTACACTGACAACCAATTATATCCTTTAATTGTGCCATGTCACTGTTAAAAGTAATTGTGTATTTACAGTGACATGAGACAATTAAAGAATATAATTGGTTGTCAGTGTAAAAAAAACTTTACTACTAATAGTGTATAAGTGATTAACTCTCTCTCTCTCTATATATATTTATTAAAAAAATTGAAAAAAATAAATGCATTTAATGTCTATAAAATGCATTCAATACTTGAGCAAAAACAAAAGAGTAGGCGGATTAATATGAAGATGTTGTATGAAGATTTATAATTCTTCTTCTAAACATCAACACATCCAGTCATACAAATTAACTTGGGGGATTAAAATGCATGTCTGTACTTTTCATTCTGTCAGTTCCCACAAGAGATATCCGATCATCATATACATCAATGTTTCCAAATGCATCCGTACCTGGAGGACATTCCAAAGCAGCTTCAAGAACTCTATGGTGTATCCCATGAGAATCAATGGAGTATCCTCCTTTATGATAATGTCCAGCGAGACATACCTTAACACAATTGTATCTGTGTATCAAATTCATTACTTCATCATAATTCCACAACAGTCCCTTCTCACTTCCCGCACCAGGATCTAGAGGTAGATGGCAACACACAATCACCTTCTGTTCCAAATTTGTTGCCTCCATGAGAACACCATCTAACCATTCCATCTGTTGCTTTCCAATGGCTCCATTAAACATGAGAAACCTTCTTTCAAGCCCCTCCAAATTTGTTGGACTGTTCTTATTTTCATTTGGGTTCTTCTCCCTTAGAATTTTCAAGGCCTCCAATGTTTTTGGATGATCTTGGGGCCAACCAATGGCACTGATGTCATAGCCATCCAGAACTATAAATCTATATTCAGGCACTGGTGAGAAATCATAGTATGCACGACCATCAAGAGTTTGTATCTCCAACAATGGAAGTAACTTGCGGCGAGGAAGATTGTATAGGCAGTGATTGCCAATCATATGATACACAGGTCCCCTGAACATCTCAAATTCGTCCAGAACTTTCTTTACAGTACTAAGAGATTGATCTTTGGGACAAAATCCATCAACAATATCTCCAAAATTAACCACAAAGTTGTGCTTCTGATGAGTGTTCCATTCTTTAATTGCTCTCCGCAACACAAGAATACTATGCCTATAATACCGTGGAACACCAAGGAACGAGCTACCATCAGGAATGTCAGCATATTGGACATCAGAAATCAATCCAAAAGAAAAAATAGGTTGCGTAGTTGCTAGTCCATTAGAAGAAACCATGACGTCTCTCACTGCGTGTCCCTATCATACATTTAACATTTATGAAGTCATCAAAGTAGTACTCAATCTTATCTTAAACACAGAAACCAATCATCTCATTCTCAACCTCAGCAATTATTCAGAGAATCAGAGGGAGAAAATGCACAGAGCAAAACAAAAACAAACAAAATGTTGGTTGCTAACTTGGCCTGTGTTAAAATTATCTTGCATAGGGCAATGCTTAGAGATATTCAAAGTTTTTTTATGGTATTTGAGATGAGCAAGCTCTTTTATTTTTTCTCTTCAATTTGGAAAGTTGCTTTGTCTGCGTAGCTACAAAGTTGAGGATCAGGCAGGAGAGTTTCGGAACTTACTTTTCTTTTGGGAAGATGATTGAACGTTAACGGCTAAATTTAAATAATCAGGCTTCATCGCCCCCACAGTTCACCTCATGAATCTACATCATGAGTCACAACCCCAACTTTAAATTATTCACAGCATCTTAAAATCAGCTGATGAGGAAACTTGAATTTAATGGTATTGAAAATTCCAGTGTGAATTCTAATCGCGCATATGAATTAACCAAAGTCACTACTTGAAAAAGAAAAGACAGAGTAAGTAGAAGGACCTATGTTTCGTATGTTGCCTTTAGGTTTATGGTTTTGCCATACTGTTAGATCCATTTTTTTGCTTTCTACTTAGATTTATTAGAAGTATATTTATGTGACAATTTGGACTCTAGACTCTGTTTGTCTAGGTTATGCTCCGTATGGGACACATTATTAGGAACTCAAATGTGGATAAGCGAAGCCTCATATCGAAAAGAAATGAAAAAGTGAGAACTTTACAATTCAAAGCCTAATTAAATCTTACAAAACTTCATACAAATTTGAAGGACTAAACATGTGAGATCATAATAGATGGTTGGAAAAGTTTAATAAGACTCTTTAGGATATACTCTAATACTATCTTAATATTATAAATTATAAATCTGACTCAACCTTACTAATTAAATCAGTTAATATTGTAAGGATTACTTATATTTTATATTTTCTTCGTATTTCTAATGAATATGAGATCTTTTATGCGATATTTACCTTAATTAGAACCTAAATTTGGCATCACATCACATCACATCACAGTTTACAAATTCAGTTTCCAAGAGGCCCCAAATTGGATAGAACCCAGAATTAAATTTGAAACTAATGTTGTTGGAGATAAATAGGACCAAAATAGAAATATATAATCCTGAACCTAGAAACCAAGTTAGGTCTAACCCACTAAAGACAAGGGAAAATCAAACAGCCAATATGAGTGACCTCGCTTGCAATGGCAAAAGGGAATAGATAAGTGAGTTTGCAAACAAAGTAAGAAACAATTGGCTTCATTCAGCTCAGACTTAAGAGCAGCTCAAAGAGAATGAGGCAATAAAATAAAGGGGCTGAGAGGTTAGAGGGACGAACCGGTGTTGGGGAGATATATGTTGAAACGGCAATCTATGTAGTTGAAAACAGAGAAGCAGCAAAATGAATGGAATGGAATTGGTTCAAGGAAGATGGTCTGTTAAGTCGAAAGAAACTGTGCTGAATGCTGATGCTGCCAGGTAAAGAGACATATTTGCGGATTGCGAGACGTTAAAACCAATGAAATTGAGCCATTCAAGTTTAGCTGTCCGACACACGGGAATGCCGCTGTTAATTTTAAAAAATGTATATATAGTTCACCATGAAAAAAATTGAAAAAAATATATTTATGTATATATATTAATTTTGACATATATTTTCATATAATATGATTAGCATTTTTATAATTAATATTTTTATATGATTTTTTTAGACATAATTAGAAGAAAAAAAAAGTCATTATTATTTTTTTGGCATTGAAAACGAATTATTAATCAAAATATATTTATTATTACAGCAGTTTACTCATTTTTTATTATTCTTTTATTATTAATTTAGCATATTTTTATTTTATCATTAAACGTCAGAAATGTTTAAATATGTACAATAATAATTTTTGAATGATAAATACTTAGTAATTATTAATAGTAAATAGTAATAAATATTTACAAATCTAGTAATTAATTACAAACAAATAATGCATTAAATTATTAATCAGAAATTGTCCATGCTACATGTATGTCTGGTGTGAAGGTATGAATCTATGATGAATTGAAGAGAATCTCAAGAAACATGTGGAAGTAAGGATTGAATCAGTGTTTAGTGAGATATTCAAAAGGTATAGAATTTGATATAGTAATTAATAATAAATATTTTAAAATTGGTAATTAATTACAGATAAATAACAAATTAAATTATTAATTAGAAACTGTCCAGGTGCATAATAATTCATTATAAATTATTATTCAAAATAATAATTCATAATAAGTATTTTAATCCAATTATTTTCCTTATTTTTATATATATTGATTCTTTTCCTTTTATTTTGATTATATATGTATATTTTTTTAATTTATATTTGGTAGCAGTTTATTTACTAATTTTTTTTCCTTTAGTTTTGATATATATATATATATATA